GTCCACTGCACTGATGGGGATCTTCTGTGCTTTCAACTTGTAGGAAGTCCTTTTTTTGGTTTGGGGAGGGAGGATGGAAAGGTTCAGCTTCTAAACTGATTTTGCTCCAGCTAAGGACTCAAGGGTAATTTCAGATTTGAATTTCCGTGAGGACCTAGACTTGGTAGTACTGACAAATGTTTTGCAGACTCTCCGTCCTCTGGATTAAAAACAAACAAACAAAAAACCTCAAAAAAACCCAAAACAGTTTTTCGTGATAAAAATAACCATCAATCAAACAAAGGAGAAAAATCATGCTTAAAACCAGCAATTCCAAATTCTTTAGAGTGTGATAGGAGGAGCAATTATGTTTGTAAATATATTTGGGTTGGGGGAATTTCATCAATATGGGGAACTCCCGCTGTGGAAACCCCCTCCATTGATGCAGGTTGGCACCTTATCTGTAAATTAGTCTTAGACCATTGCCCGAGAAACTGAGAAGTAAAGTGATTTACGCAAGATCCCTCAACCAGTGGGTGTCAGAAGCCTTCTTGACGCTAAGCCCAGGCCTCTCTCCAGCATACCACACTGCTGCTTAGACACACACACACACACGCGCACACACACACACACACACAATCTATACATATATGAACATACAAATACAATATATAAATGTATATGAGTGTGCATATGTGTGAATTTTAAACAAAATGACATTTTTTCTGTGCTTACTTCTGATCTTTTTTTTTTCATTTGTATTGTTTACATATTGTCTCCCCAATTAGATTGTAACCTGCAGGAGGGCAGGAACTATCTGGAGTGTATCCATAGCCATTAGGACAGTGCCTGGCCCAAATCTGGCTTTAGGTACTTACTAGCTGCGTGACCTTGGGCAAGTCATTTCATCTCTGCATCAGTTTCCTTCACTGAAAAAGGGAGAAAATAACAGAATAACACCTATCTCAAAGGGTTATAGTGAGGATCAAATGGGATAATATTCATAAAGTCTAAGCACAGTGACTGGCACATAGTAGATGTTACATCAAAATATATAATATTATCTATTGTATCACCTAATTATAGATAGCATTATATAATCAATATGTAATATATAATAAGATCATATTATAATATGATATATGATAACATTTATATTATATTTATATTATATACAATAACATTATGTATGATATTTATATGTAATAGCATTATCTTCTAATATTTATGATATATAATAACATTGTATATTATAATATATAATATATAATATATAATGAATAGTTTCCAGCCTGCTTGGTAAATGCTTGTTGACTGACTGTGTGCCTAATCACATTTTTAAAATATTGTCAGCATATATGTGTTTTTTCTAACCCTGCTTTATTTTACATCCCTTCATATAAAGGCATTTCATCTTCATATTCCTCATATTTATCTTTCCCTGTGATGCAATATTATCCTATTAAATGGATGTAAATAGCATGGAATTTGAAGTGTTAGAGCATGATTCTTTTCTGTATACATGTGTGATTGCAAACACCTTCTCTGTTTCTTGATTTGTAAAGTGATGGAGCTGGAGCAGACAGTAACCAAGGAGGCTTTCTGATCTAATTCCTGTGCTCCTACAATAGGCCACAGTTTGTCCAGTCCTTCCTCAATCTTGGATATGTAGGCTAGTTAGAATTTTTTCCTATAACAAATATAAGGTATTTTGAATGTTTTCATTCATCCATATATATATATGTATACGTGTGTATATATCTCCCCACCCCTTTTTTTTATCATCTTCTTTCAATGACACCCTTAGAATTTAGTCCTAGCAGAAGGATCTTTGAGTCAAAGGTTAAAATGAAATCCACAGTTTCCACTGAAAATCACCAGATTGTTTTCCAAAAAGGTGGCACCAGTTGGCAGTAGCTTTCCTGTTTCCTCACAGCCTAGCTCAGAGGCCCAGAAAGGAGTAGACATCAATTGAGACTAATGATTACCACCACCCCTAACACATGAAAATCAGTGAGAGATTGTCCCTTCATATTTTGTGGTTCTCTTTGCCAATGTGATAGGAATGCACTCTCTCTGATTCTCTCTCTCTCTCTCTCTCTGATTCTTTCTCTCTCTTTCTCTCTCCTCCCCCCCCTTCTCGCTTTCTCTTTCTTTCTCTCCCCCACCCCAGAGACACTTCTAACTTATATCTTCAATCATGTTTTATTTGTTAAACCTCTTGGTCTGCCATCTTCGGTTTTCTACTTTCTATCCATGTGAGTTTGGGGGAAAGATTGTATTCACTTTTCCTCCCTGGCCTTAGCCCACTCAGCCCAAGTCATCAACGAGACAGCCTAGGGTCTTTTATCAAGTGTACCAAACATTTGTATTTGAGAAAAATCATAAATGATAGCTCCTTTGGCTTTCTAATTGGTTAAAAACTCAGGTCCTGGTGTTTTCACCACGGTATTGTGGTTTAGTTACTGTAACTTCAAGCTAATCTCTTCGTACCTTGCTGTCCTGAGTTAGACTTGACTTTCCATTATGCATTTCACAGTAGGCACCTCCTAATTATAGAAACTCTAGGGTACCACCATCTAGGGGGTGAAAAAAGCATTCATTGTCTACATGGCATGAGTGTCTATGGACATCAACATGAGCTGTACAATTCTGCCTGCAGTGGATGTGGGAAGGCACTGGAAAGCCAGTCCAAGGCAGCTAGGGGGTGCTGTAGTGCACGGGGCGCTGTAGTGCACAGAGCGCTGGGCCTCTCTTCCCAGTCAGGAAGACCCGAGTTCAAATCTACCCTCAGACACTTAACTATGTGACCTTCTGGGTCCTCCCCAAATGGGAAAGTCACTTACTCTCTCAGCCTCAGTTTCCTAAACTGTAAAATGGGGGTAATAGAAATAGCACCTACCTCCCAGACTTGTGAGGCTCAGTCAGGATAATATTTGTAAAGCACCTAGCACGGTGCCTGATACATAGTAGGAACTTAATAAAGGCTTATTCCCATCCCCTTCTTCCAAAGTACTCTGGACCTGTGTGATAGGGAAGGGCTACTGTCCACTTGAGGCCTTAGCGAGAACTGGGTTAGTAAAGGCATGGAAGGCTAGTGCCCAGTAGTCTGGGATAGCTGACTTGTAGAACTGATTCTGGCTGTAAGGCAGCAGCTAATGCCTGCTTTGCCCTCCTGGGGATGCGGGGGTTTCATCCCCCAGATGGCTTTGCTTAGGGTGAGGCAGTGTGCTTAGCACTGGATTTAGGAGTCAAGCACTAATGGGTTCTGATCTGGACCCTGCCATTACCTAGTGGTGACCGGTCATGGCCAAGTTACTTCCCCTTGACGGTCTTTCTCGGCGGTGGCATTTTATGTTCTGAGCCCCTCTCAGTTCCGATGTTCCGTGTTCTAGGGTCTTTTTCAGATCTGAAACTCTCTCTTCTAGGTTGCTTTCCAGTTCTGACATTCTCTGTTCTAAGATTCCTCCCATTTCTGACATTCTGTGTTCTAAGGGCCCTCCCAGCTCTGACATCCCATGTTCTAAGGTTCCAAGGTTCTATGCAATTCCGGAATTGACTTTGCCAGTTACCAGACTGACAATTCATTGTTTGCGCTGTGTTCATCTCCACATGGGAGGTAAAGAGGACTAGGGTCCAGCCCTCAGGCAGGTCACAGTCCAGCCAGGCTGGACCTGCATGCACCCAGATCATTTACCACGTCGGGCAGTGTGGGCCAAATGCCTCAGGAGTTCAGAGGATGGACAGATGGCAGAGGGCTGGGGGTTGTCCTTAGAGGTGGGGGAATTTGAGCTGGGCCTGGAGAGATGAACAGACTTTTTAACCGGCAGAGGGGAAAGGATGAACCAAGATACAGAGGCAGGGAACGTCAGATTGGTTTTGAGAGACTGTGAATCACTCTGTTTGTCTAAAGGGCCTTACAGGGGAGGAATGAGAGGGTAAGGAGACAGGGTTCTTAGGCCAGGGCCTGGGATGTCAGGTTAGAGAAGTGGGAAGAGAAGGGCTGTGGCTACAGAATGAGAGCACTCAATCCAGGGTATCCATATTAACTAGTTTGAGGAGAGTTAGGTTATAATCTTAGAGCTGGGAGGGAGCTTAGAACACAGACTGTCAGAGCTGAGAGGGAGCTTAGAACA